AACAATCACAAGTGGTGTTGTGACAAACGAGAGCTCTTGTATAATATAAATTATCCTTTTGGCTGACAAAGTGCGAATTGCGAAGCAAAAGTCGACTACGTTCGAAGCAAAGCTTCTTTAATGATGCAACATGGTTTGGAGAAAGTTTGCTTCGCATCTTCCGAACTTCGGAGGATGCGAAGCAAACTTTCAGATCCTGTCTCATGAAACGAATTTTAAGCATTATGGATGCGTCGTTTAAAAAAAACAACATACCTTTCTTGTGATCACGTGCTCCTTTCTACCTTCTTGTTGTTATGCTAGCTGTGCTGGGATTATGACTCGTGACAGATGCCAACACTTCATGGTCAGCGAATCATGTGGAAAAGTAAAAAGATTAAGAAACTTTTATCAAGATAGGTTGCGTCATCGCTGACTCTTATCCCACGCTGTACAAAGGGAGATGGAAAGCTGCTCAGCGACTCGCATGGGTGACAATGGTTGACAAGCAGCTTAACCAATCAGAATAATGGCATGCTTAGAGTACCTGCCCAGAACCAGCTGGCGGACAGTTGAAAAAAAGTGTTTGTTCTGTTCATTTGTTGTAACAATAATAATTGTCCTAAAAAAATGCTGAGTATTCAAAGTGTTAAATATTTTTTATTGTTGTTTTAAAAAAGATTTTGAAAATGTTTGCAATATTGTTCTTATTAAATATTTTCTTTTCCGTTCTCTGTCTGCGAACATAATGTTTTACATTTTCGTTGCCGGGGGCGGGAGAAGGTTGGAGGAAATGAGGACGTAAGAGCGTAAAGCTGGATGGAAGTTGCACAAAAAAAAGAGCATGATAATAAGAAACTGATGCTTCAATACACTGCTCTGAGGCTAAGGCAAGAGAACTGTTGTGTTTCTTCTTCCCTTTGATAACCAGCTTGATCCTCCACCAATTTCGGTTCTCCTCTTCCCTCCTGCCTGCCTGTTGTCTGTCTGTCTGTCTGTCTGTCTGTCTGTCTGTCTGTCTGTCTGTCTGTCTGTCTCCCCTTCTCTTTGTCGCCTCTTCTCTCTTTTTCTTTCTCTGTCTTCCTCTCTCTGGTTCTCTCTGTATCTTTGTCTGTCTCTGTCTCTCTCTATCTATGTCTCTCTGTCTCTCTGTTTATCTGTCTGTCTGTGTCTCACTCTCTCTCTTTATCTCTCTGTCTGTCTGTCTGTCCGTCCGTCTGTCTGTCTGTCTGTCTGTCTGTCTGTCTGTCTGTCTGTCTGTCCCCCCCCCTCTCTCTCTCTCTCTCTCTCTCTCTCTCTCTCTCTCTCTCTCTCTCTCTCTCTCTCTCTCTCTCTCTCTCTCTCTCTCTTTCTCTCTCTCTCTATGTGCTGTCAACCGAACTATTCAGCGCCCTTTATTTGTAGCTTCAGATTCTGAATGGCACACCTTAGGGCGACACTCGTGCTCTCTCTCAATCTGTATTTCTTTAAGAGTCCGGGCAAGCATTAGAAACACGGGATCTAAAGAATACAGGTTTGACAGGGGTAAGGGAAATAAATGTGTTTATACTAAATGTTTTAAAGCCAATCTGGGTTATTTTCCTTTGAGCCGAGATCCGACGTGCCCTCCCCTCTGAACTATTTGTCGGATTTATTAAAAAAGCTATACAAACACTCATTCTCGATGGAAGGTGCATTTTTGCTCGGTCAACTATTTTTTGTATCGTCATTTAATAGTAGGCCTATATTTTGAACATTGGTAAATTCACTAAGGAAAAGACATTTACACTTTACTGTTGACCTCAACTTAGAAACTTGTCAGTCAGAATTAATAAGACACTGGCAGATTTGTTTTGAATAGACAACGATCCATGTCTTGACCCTCTATTTTAGTTTTATCCAAATTCCCCTCAAAGCCTAGACCGAAACCATTTTGAATCCACACGGTACTAGTAAAGGGAAAAACAAACCTTCAAGATTGTTTGTGCAATAACACATTGCTCTTTCACAACCCACCCCAGTATAGAACAAACGACACCTTCATTCGACTTTTTCAATCTTAAGATGATTACAGCGTGCATCAGACCTCAGCTCACCTTTCTTTCCATTTTTGTCCTTGTTGGTGTGTTCGAAGAAAAAAAATATAAGGACAGTAGAACAGAGATGATTTTCGACCTTTGGTTTCAGTTCAGTGACATTTGCAAAATGTTGACGATTTCTTAGAGAATGGATACCTTTTCTAAAACATATTTTTTATGTAAGTGTTTTCGGCACTTGCAACAGAATCAGATCCTTTAAGTACGGAAGATTAAAGGTGTTTCATTTGTTTCAAGAGAGTAACAAACACAAAAAGATGGAGGAGAAATAAGAACGGCAGGTGTTTGATAGGAAAGAAGGAGGAAATCCCACAAGAGCACCCGTCAACCACCCACCCCTCCTTTATGTAATTGTTCAGTACATTAATGTCAGCGTTCAAAAATCAAAATGACTTTCAAAATATGTGTTCGATTTCAAATGCTTGACAAGCGCCATATATCCGAGTGAAAACAGCTCTCCATCAGTTGACAGTAAATGTACACAATATTATCATCATCCTAATATTGCTCTGTTGATGAATGTGGCACGCGATATGTGTGTATTCACAATTGCACAAACGATGAGCATTGCTGTTGCAAACCTTACCCCCAAACCTGTCAAATCAAATGATTTTGTGTTTTTTCGAATATGTTTTTTTGGTTTCTATGAAAGAGAGGAACAGTAATTCTTTCTAAATTGAAAAATAAGTCAAATACTAAAACAGATACTAGATAGAGAGATAGATAGATAGATAGATAGATAGATAGATAGATAGATAGATAGATAGATAGATAGATAGATAGATAGATAGATAGATAGATAGAGAGAGAGAGAGAGAGACAGACAGACAGACAGACAGACAGACAGACAGACAGACAGACAGACAGACAGACAGACAGACAGAAAGACAGACAGACAGATAGACAGACAGAAAGAGAGAGAGAGAAAGAGAGAGAGAGAGAGAGAGAGAGAGAGAGAGAGAGAGAGAGAGAGAGAGAAAGAGAGAGAATTCGAGATAAAAATGCATTAGTTAAGGAACTAGACATCGATTCAATCGAAACGATGAGTAGAGCGTGGTGCGTTGAAATTTAAATTTAAAAAAAAAAAGAATTCTCTCAAATTGTATATTTAAAAAGACTGAACACAAGTGAACACTATGCTTTGTTGGTATTTTAAAGCCATTACAAGCCTTTCTACACACATAGTTTATCTTAGAAAGTCTTTCTCTTCTTCCAGTAGGAAATATGAAAAAAAGACACAAAGTAAAAGAATGATCACGAGGACTGTACTTAAAAGTTAATGTCACAAATCGGAACCTGAGCTTAGATGTCATTCCATATTTTACCTGCCGTTTGACGGGTTGTATTTCGTGTTCATCTGTAGTTGATTTTGTAAAAAAAGAAAAAAAACGGCGTAAAAGGGGGCTAAGAGCATCGTTGTGGTTAAAAACTAGACGCTGCCTCACGATCCAAAGTTCGTAGTTTCGACCCTCAATGGATAATGGATTCTCCAGGTGTTTTGGGTGTAAACCGGTGTTACATGTCATCCAGTCAAATAGTCGGTGGACTTTAAAATGTAAGTTCTGCCATTTGAGTAACTTCAGGTTGCGTTGAAAAGAGTCTTGAAAATTGCCATACTAAAATATATCAAGCTTTAGAAATCAGTTATAGGAATTATAATACAGTAACAGCATGAGGTGGTAATATATCGTTTGGTTATTTAAGCTCCTTTTCTGTTATAAAGGGAACGAATATCCGATGGTTTTAGGAGGATATAAAACTCGAAATGTCCAAATCCAACGTCCGTCTCTAAAAAACACACCGAACCGAGCAGATGCAGAGTTTTAAACAACTTAAGTTTGAGATCTTAACGTTGAGGATTGGAACCAAGGTAACTGGCGACTGAGGTGTAGCAGTTAGGCGAGTGACCGTAGCACGTACAAGAACTATTTTGTTGAATCCAGTGAAGGGAGAATTTTTATCCAGTATATTGGTGCTTCCACTGAGACGATGTTTCCCTCTCAGCCCGAGTTGGCACTGACAGGTCAGGAAAGGTCGAAAGCCACCTCATAAATTTTAATGATCTAAATTATTTTGTCTGGGTTGGTGTAAGCACACCTACATCAAAGAACCTTTTCCCTCCCCCTACCCCCCCCCCCGATCCCCCTTACCACCTTACCCCCCCCCCCCCCCGGCCCCCCCCAAAAAAAAAACAACAAAAAACCTCTACAAAGAATTACCCCCCCCCCCCCCGAACGACATGAAAGTTTGATGAAAATAGAAAAGTTTGCCAATCATATGAAGGCAGTAGAAACTAAACATCTTCGCCATGCCTTTTAATTAGCCGCACCGGAATTACGGTCAGGATGAGCGACTTT